TTTTGGAATTCTTCAGGGGTAAAAGGTTTTGAGCTTGGAATTCTTCAGGGGTAAAGGATTTTGAGCTTGGAATTTTGGAATTCTTCAGGGGTAAAAGGTTTTGAGCTTGGAATTCTTCAGGAGTAAAGGATTTTGAGCTTGGAATTTTGGAATTCTTCAGGGGTAAAAGGTTTTGAGCTTGGAATTCTTCAGGGGTAAAGGGTTTTGAGCTTGGAATTTTGGAATTCTTCAGGGGTAAAAGGTTTTGAGCTTGGAATTCTTCAGGGGTAAAGAGATTTGAGCTTGGAATTTTGGAATTCTTCAGGGGTAAACAGTTTTGAGCTTGGAATTCTTCAGGGGTATGACAATGAAAAACATGTATCCTCGACAGGGGGGGTACGGATATTAAATGGAATAGCCCAATTAAGTGCCCATCGATATTATTTAGACCGTGTATTCATTATACATTGTCATTGACTGTATAAGGTGCTACATCACAGAATAGATGGCTACGCTCAGTACAAAGAGCGAAACAACTATTAAACAGAAGCGGGTAAACGTTTGTACGGCGTTTACGAAGAAAATAACTTGCGAGACTAAAGAAATCAGTTGAGTCAGAGCTCCTTATTTAAATAAGAAAGACGAGGAGATAGCCAATGCGTTATCGCCAACGTGTTATCGCCAATCGCTTGGCTCGCCAACAAGCTTTATGCAATAGAAAAAAAAAGCAAGGAGGTACATGTAGCCAACGTGTACCGTCACGGGCCTTGTCTTTGTTTACTGTCTAGCACAACGCCGTTGTCAATGGTGCAAACCGCTCTTGTTCAGTGCAACGATAACTCTACCAGATCTTACGAGAATCAATCTGTAGTATTCTGTACACAGAACTGTTCTAAGCTTGTCAAAACTGCTTTATTAAACACTGCTTAACTGTGAAACTATTGAAATCTAAACTCTAAAGTGATATTATTCAACACATGCGAAAAGCTGAAAATAGACGTGACACTGGGAAAAGTCAAAGGTCAATGAGACTTGTTATTGTGAAGCGTGTCACAATTAGGTTAAAATGCGGGAGCGGATCCACGGAACGGATATGTGGATAAAATACGGAACGGATGAGGATAAAATGCGTCCTTTTAATGATGTAACGATGTAGTGCTTATTATTCATAACATATCTTACACAGCTATTTCAATTATAGTTTTAGATAAATTTAGCATAGCAGTAGCCTCGTGGGGAGCTTTTAGCGACAGCTGCAAATGCAAATGAAAATTTAGAATATGCAAAATTTGGTTGTTGGTGACACAATAAATAGGTGAATTGCATCAGTTTCACAAGGCACGTTTCTGATGTGTTAGGCTTGTTTCAAACGTCACGCTACTCGTGTGCCGAGCGTATTAAAAGCAATAAATAATGAGATGAATTGCCTTTGGTAACTGTTTATTTCGTAGTGTAAGCCATCAGCTTTTCTAGGTTGTCGGCGACCATATATAGTTCTTGCAGTGTCTTTTTCAATTCGAAACTTCACACTATCCTTGGATCCCTAGTTTTGATCTATGAGTTGTCTCACTGAGCTCTTTTTGCGCAGTTCAATGTGTTTATGTTTATTTTTTTTTAAGGTAAACAAATTCATTCAATGGTCGCCCATCTGGATGCGGTCACGTGTCTATCTGTAGATAGTCCTGGACTATATCTATTATCTGGCAGTAAGTATAGTCGTTGGCACCTGAGCATGAACAGTGCAGATAAAAACATTGTCTATTCTCACACTCAGCTCGGAGCTGCTGCAGCCATCCGCCACAATCTTAACATTTATTTGCCAACACTGCTAATAATTGGTTACAACATCATAGTTCATACTATCTTAAATACAGATCCTATTTCCAGATCTTGAAAGATTAATTTATCTGATGATACTTTTAAAAATTATACAACCACATACTTGGGTGGGCAGGTCGGAAAAAGGTCAACAAATGGCGGAAGCAAAAACAAAATGTGCTTTCCTAACCCGCAGCGCCCGATTATATAATGAGGCTCCTCCCCCCCAGCAGTGTATGAAGAACATTCTCTGCTTCTTTCATTCATCGGCCAACAGAAAATTACACATATTCTCACGTGAAACTTGGTATAGCTACATCAGAGCTACATATAAGATAACACTAAGCTGCTCCATATACTACTATTCGGAGAACTCCAAATTTTCGGAACACTAATACTGTCACATGACTGTTGAGTAGGGTATGCCAGAACAGACATGTCACTTATGTGAGCATGTTTGGTTCGATTCGATTACACGCGTTTTAAAAAACGCACAGCTTGTAACAAGTCTGTAAACAAGTTGTTACAAGTCTGTTCACTAGCTGTGACTAAGCTGTCGACAAGTTGTGTTCGCACTGCTTGTTCCCAGTTTGTTGTAACAAGTTTGGAACAAGCTGTTAACAACCTGCAACAAGCTTGATGGCATTATCAGCCTTGTTACAAGACTGTACCAACAAGTTTGTTACAGCCATGATATAACAAGGATGTTACAAGGTTGTCAACACAAGGTTGTAACAATCTTGTTATATGCATGTAACGAACTTGTCATAATTTGGATAATGGATAATTTCAACAAGGTTGTTACATGTTGTCAACAAGTTGTTCCAAACCTGTTGACAACTTGTGATAAGCAGTGCGAATACATCTTGTTGGCAGACTTGTTACAAGATGTGAGATTTTTATGTGTGCTACTTCCAAAAATTTGGAGTTCTCCGAAAAGTAGTATATGGAGCAATCTTGAACTGTCTTTGCCAGTGTAGGTAGTGCCAATAATATGAACAAGCTTTCGTTGGTAGGGACATCCCTATACCAACGAAAACTTGAGTATATGGAGCAGCCTGACTAAATGAGTGTTTGTCCAATTCAGGTCACGACTGTTCAATTCGTCTTTGGAATCTCGAAACGAGAACTTGTGTCCAGGAAATAACCTCACATCGTAAGAAATTCGACGAATCCATCTACGACGTCGCGTTTCACCCGAGGAAGGCGTTCATAGCGAGCGCAGGCGCAGATGGTTTAGCGAAAGTATTCCTCTGACCCACGTGACCTAACCATCCCCATATACCCCTGTAGCATATCCCCGTAGAACCCACAACGTCCCGCATGCACCCGTAAAGTACCAAACGGAGTCGTAACATCTCTGGCTGTGCTCTAGTTGTCATGGTCGTGAACAGATATCCGGTATTTATTTTCGTGTCGTATATATGATGTTTTAGCGAAGATAGGCGTTTATAGTGCACCTAACCTCAATTCCTTTTATCATCTCACTCGTAAGAACTTTTGAAATGATATCAAGTAACTTATTTTGAAAATTTTTGTTTCCTCAGTTATTTCTGAGATATTCCAGTTTTACTTCACACATGAATGACTTACCAAAGACTGTAAAGCCTGGTTCATACTATCAAAGTTTCTGTGATCACAGTAGGAATTTTGCGTAGGTAAATTCTAGGTTTTGAAGGATTTGTAAGAAATGTTTGGTGGAACTGACCCACTGTTTAACACTGAGTCAGTCCCTTTAACATTTCTTACAAATCCTTCAATTTCTTACCTAAATTGTGTTTGACATATGTATGCCATCCTCCCACAACTCCAAACTTCTTCATTTTAATGAATTAGAACTCGATAATGAATAAGATACACAAGCTTTTACTTATTGTCATTATGCATATATGACGTAAGTTCGGATATTTGCATACCAAACAAATTACAAGTATCTCAGAAACAAAGTGAGTAAACGGAAATCTTCAAAATAAGTTCCATATAATTTCAAAAGTTCTTAAGAATGAGATGGTAAAGAGAATTGAGGTTAGGTGCATTTCTGAAATTGACCACTATCGGCCGTAACGGTTACCAAAGCCAACCTACAGGAGCATTGTGAGCGTGATAGGGAAATATACTCGACTTCAATGTCAAGTATAAACCCATACTACTGGAATGAATATAACTGGAACGCTACCTCCAACCGGAAATTTGAAGCCAAACTAGAAGGGTAGTCCCAATCTTTTCACGCATGCGAAGAGCGCGGTCAATCCGTCAATATGAATGTGATATGTCTTTTTTCTGTGTTGGTGTTATGTACTCAGGTGAGTATGATGTGTGTGATGTTACTCTGAGTGTATATCCACACCGGCCAAGCTTGAAAAATATGCCTGGCCGAGTGGCCGGGCATATTTTTCAAGCTTGTCCGGTGTGGATATACACTCGGAGTAACATCACAAACATGATATTATTCTTGAAAACCGGCTTAAAATCCACAAAAAAGCGTTTTTAAAAGGGCTCAAAGCTTTCTATTAATGCATTTATCAGGTCAGAACTCCTAGTAGACTTTACTTTTAGTTTTTTCTTATTTTTTCTAATAATAGCCGCGTGCTCGCTTCCTGAACTGATCTCGCGAGAGAATCGCGAGGCATAAACACGCGGATCTTCGGTCTCGCGACAGAATCTCGAGACATAAACACGCGGGTCAGATTTGGCTTCAAGAAACAGATAGGCAGTTTATCTGGTTTATCCGAAGTTAGCGTTCAGTTATATTCATTTCACTGACCCATACCAACTATTTGACTAAAACATTGACGCAAGTTTTGGCGGAAGTGTTAATCGCCATGTGTTCATAATAATTCAACAATAATCCGAATAACACCATGATGAGAACACAGTCAGCAGTTTGAGCTATAATTTATTATGTACAATGATATAAATACTGAAATCAATATGTGTGTACACTAGATACACATTGGGGAACAGTTTCATAATATTATACTTATATTATGCTCAACAAAATTGGCCCCTTCAATGATCCTGTGTAGACTAAATTTTAGTTAATATTTCCATGGCTGTCATTAGCCGACTGTAAACAGTAATTAGGTAATCTTTAGATTAAAGTCATGAATAACATGCATATTGTAGCACTATAGTAATTCGTATTCTAAAGTCTTCAAGCAGCAAATGAGACGTCTCAGACGTGCACATTCCACACGGTTTCAAATTCATATATAATTGTCCCATGTAAACAGGTGGAACAATGGCTTAATTTAATACGGTTCCGTATACACGCACACGGGTACAAGTTTGCCATTATACTGGAAATGTGTACTACTGAGTATACTGGGGCCGGATAGCGCAATGCCGCCGCTATCCACCGGATAGTGATTTTTCAACCTTCGTGATAATGGTTGAAATGCTATCACGCTACCGATGTGTAGCCTGACTTTAAAGGGGGGAAAGTCAGTCTTCTCCCCCTTTAAAGTCAGGCTGCACGCAGGCTACCGATGCGGACCTCATCTGGCTTATACCAATAAACATGCAGACAATTTTTGAAAGCTTAAAAAAATCACTATCCGGTAGATAGGCTACCCGGCTTACGTACACGACTGACCCCAAGGCGGATGATCGATCAAAATGGACATTACGGCATTAGGAAAATGCAAGGTACATGGTTTGTTCCCAGTGCCAGTATATAGATCGCGCTGTTATAGCTAGCTCATCTATAGATCGTTCGTTTTGTGTTTACACTAAGATCCGTGAGACGGATGATGCAAGATGATGCATCAGAGCGTCTTCGCAGATGCATGATGTATCTCGGCATTTATATTTAACATACTAATATACTAGCTTCACGAATTCATATCTCATCTATCCAACTACTCCCATATACTATGATATAAATTATGGATTCCAACGATGTCCATGTACATCTGGTTGACTGTATTGACGGTCCCAAAGCCATGGTCGATCTATAAGGGGAAAATCTTTATTACAACCTCTAAGGAGTATGCTGTTGAATTGAAGTCATATAACAACCAAACTCAAGATTACAAAT